TGGACAGTTCAAGTAGTGTAGAACTAAGATTTTGTACCTGATCGATATGTACAACCGTGTGAGGAGGGGTCAACTTTTTTGTGGAATTTTGCACAAGCATTATATACCAGTTCCCCACAATCACTCAACCAAGATAATGCACTCGTGTTATCCCCATCTATTTGACAGCCAGCACATAATCTGTCAGTCATTCTGAAAACAAAAGGATATACAAGATTAAGCAATAGGTGGATTAAAGGTGGACATGAATATGAGCTCTCATACTTCGCAACTTGTAAAATTTGTTTGTGTTTATGGTATTAAGCTTATCATAATTAGCAATTAACATAAGTAAGCTTATAGTGTATCCCCTTATACACTGTCGATTACACGCATCTCCTCATTTTAATTTCAAATGTGATATTTTCTTATCTTATAATTGGTTGAGAAGTTTCATCAGTCCTGTAGAACTTGTCTAGTCTACTTTAAAATATTCATGAAATGAAGTATTCTTTTATACTTAGAGGAAGATTATTCGAAAACCTTATAGTGGAAGGTGTGAAACTATTATTAAAAGAGCTAGCTATAGCAAGTTTGTGTGTGTGGGAGGGGGTGGTCCAATTGTAATTCTAGCAGCTTTTAAAAAAAATATTCTCTATATTCAGTGCAGTTGCCATAACCATACTCAAATATTGGTTATAAAGCAAAGTCAAAAATGAATTACTGTCAAATAAAGTTCAAATAAGCGATGGCCAATTTCTCATGTAAACCAAGAAACTATGAAGGAACTATTCATATCAAATGCAAACAGTTCAAAAAGATAGATGTACCATATATGCCTCGGCGGGTAACGATTTTATTCAACTCGTATAATTTTTTTTTAGATATTTCCCGTCGTTGTATGTACTGTGTTTTAATCCCACAATCAACCCTCTAGTATAGTATAGTTGAAGATCTGGATGCGGATGGGGTGGTTGGTTTGGGATCCTTTATTTCTTCATTCTTAAACTTTTTATACCATTTTTATCCATTCTTTATCCATTTTCCCCCATTATTCTCTAATCTATATTTCTTTTGCCTATTGTTTTCTATTCTTGACTTTCTTGCCCGTTATTCTGCACGTTTTGACCATTATTCTCTGTGAACCCTATCCAGATCCTCAGGCTTAGTTCTTTAATTAAAACAAACTCTATTTTTTTTTTTATAGAAACCGGATATTTTATTAGGAGGTGGACCGTTTGAAAGACTCAAAACACATTAAATTATGACACTACTAGCAATTTTAAAGTTAAATATTACCATGATTACCGTAAGCTCCAAATAGAAGCAGGGTACTATTAAACGGATATCGTATAAGTTTATTTAGATTATGATGTCATCAAATGTAATTGGATAACAAATAAATAAATAAATAATTGGATATATTCCTCTGCATTTATCCTGCTCTATCGTAAAATAAGGTAAAATTCTTTTAAAAACCCTCCTCTATAATGAATATTATTGAAATCGATTTATTTGCACTTAATAAATGTCATGGTGTAAATAGAGTAAACAATAAACAATATATGGGTACATATATACAATGCGAGTACACTCATATTTGTACACGTAATGACCGACGATTGTTGCCTAGAATAGGAATGGAATCTATACACAGACACATACCTGGTTTCACTGGTTCAGTAAAATTAAGTGCTTCGTACATAATTTCTTTTTCTTTGGTATTCCCAATACTAGGAAAAGGGAAGTAAATTCAACCTTCTTTTGTCCATAGCAAATATAATTTCCGCGAAAATTCAAAATTCAGTTTACGTTGGTAAACGTTGGCAAACGTAAACCTTTTATGTTAATATTTTTTAACATGTTAATTAATTATCATTTAAGAATACACTAATATTTGAAGTCATTCATTATTTAATTTATTTTTTAATACTCATGCATATGAAAGACACTGTCGCTCTGTTTTTACTGTACACTTGTTTGTTTTATTGTTTGTATTTAATCATGACATTACCATTTAATGTAAATGTGTTTGTGCAAATAAATAGTGTCTATTGTCTTTTTGAAAGAAATTTATTGTGTCAAGATAATCACTACTACTGGTAACAATTAATTTAGCTTGATTAATTGAATGGTGCTTGCTTAACATCCAGTGGCAAATATGTCATGCATATTCAGGACGTGAAATCAACTTTGGTGCTGACATTTATTATCATTGATATTGCCATTTTCTGTAAAGAATAATCAATATCAGATAATCAAGATAATTGCATGTAATTTTTTGAAGGAGATATCATACTTTCATACGAGCCTGCTGAGCACATTTGTTGGAAAATTTGTAACTGTTTTTTAAAATCTAATGCATACTGAAAAAATACGTTATTAATAATTTTTTTTAAGTAAAGAATTCTTTGAAGTCATGTTTTGTCTAGTCTTTGAAAATGTTTAATATTTTATCTTTTAAATTCAATTTGCTGATCACCTGAATTGTCAGCTGTGATAACACAATTGATATCTTGTATTTTTTTAGAATTTGGTAAAAAAATCTAGTTTTATTTAAATCTAACCTTCCACCAGTAGATGTGGAGATGCAAACTTTTCCACACAGATCAATAGGATGCCTTTGAAAAATAGGATTGAAGTCATT